CGACTTTGTGCCTTAAGAGTATGTTGCGCTTTCCGAACAACGTCAGAGGAAGCAGCGTTAGTAGTAGCAGGTCTCTGTCCTATTGACATAGTGGCAAAAGAAATAGGTGCAATATCTGAAAAGCAGGAGAAAGAAAGGGTGAGACGAAATTGTTTGCAGCAGTGGCAAGACCGCTGGGACCACTCAACTAACGGACGCTGGGCATATAGACTTATTCCGAGTATAAGCAAATGGCTTGACAGAAGACATGGACAGGTTGACTTCTACCTGACTCAAATACTAACCGGACACGGCTGCTTTAAAGCATACTTGCACAGATTTACGCACGAAGACGACCCGTACTGCACTTTCTGTACAGGGCAGGTAATCGAAGACGCTGAACATTGTTTTTTCGTCTGTCCGCAGTTCGCAACCCAAAGGGACGACTTGAGCATAAAGGTGGGGAGGCCACTTAAGTTTGACAACCTGGTGGATATCATGCTTGAGTCAACAGAAAATTGGTCCGTTGTTTGTCATATGGCAAGCACTATCCTAAGAAAATTGCGTCAAGCGGAACAACTCCGCAGATCTTCATAGAAAGGCAATAGGCCGCTCCCCCTTCTTGCGGTTGTTCCACGGAAGGAGGGAAACGGAGCAGGGGTGGGTTTTTAGTGCGGTGAGCCGAAAGGCAAGTCCCACACTTATCGGCTTTAAATGCTTTGTGCCACCTCTACAACAAAAAAAAACATACGTACGTATGCACATTCCTCTCAACTAGCCTGCCAACACGTTCTTGTCGTCAGCAGAGAGTAAAGCAATTGAATGGTAGACGCGCTATAAATACATACATACATATATACGAGACGATAAATTACCCTTTACAACAGAGGCGGGCAGCTTCGACAGAGAATTTTTGTAGTGTGCGAGAAATTGATGTCACTGTGTACGTGCGAACAAGCGGTGCGGTTGAATGAAGCTTTCGCTGCCTTATAAAGCAGAGCGTGTATGTATACGCGAATATGCCCGCCGGGCAGGTGCCGCCCAGGTCTGCTTTACAACATTCGTCATGCTTTCCGCAACAAGTCAAATGGCTTTCAGCAACAAGTCAAACGACTTCTGCCACAAATGAACTGCGGCGTCTTGCTTCGCCAACCGTCCCCATGAGCTCTCATGTTTTCGGCAACCATTCAAATACCGCGTTTTCTAGCTTCGTGAACGAGCGTTCGGAATACTGTTTTGCCGAAGTCAATATCAGCACGCTATGCGCTGGTGTTCAGTCATCCTCTAATTTCGTTTAGGTATCGATACTACTCAGCCAACGCCGCTGCTCAGTCATACAAAGCAGCAGTATTGATTGAGTTTGCAATAGTTGGCGTTCAACGCAAGCCAGTCTCTGGTAAGTATACATCACTTTCCAATAGGATGATAGTTTATGACAAATTAATTGATCATTAAAGTTTGTTTTTTATGAAAAAAATAAATAAAAATATCTAATTTTAACTGGAGAAAAATTAAAAATGTAACAGGTTCTGTGTCAAGTTCTTGCAGTTGTGCCTGCAAGTTTTAAAGTTTAAAGTTCTGTTATAAACAAATCAAGTTACTTATGAGGCAAATCGATGAATAATAAAGAAGTAATGAGTGGTCAAATCAAAAGGCGCAAAGATTTTTTGTATGAGAAATGAGCAGGAAATAATGCTACTCATACGCCATGTACACGCTTTTATGCTCATATTTTAATTAAGTTAATCTCTTAATGATCCAATGATCGGATTTAAACCTTTAAACCTTTCCTTTAAATGAAGAATTATAGAAATCGGTTAGCGTGGTCCAAAGTAATGCTATGTCTCCATTCTGAGATTTAATGAAAATTTAGCCCTCTGACGAGATTTAACGTTAAATCTTTTGCGATTTACCATATAAAATTAAATCTCGAAAGGCAGTAGATTTAAGTTAAATCTTCGTTAAATCTTCAATAATATTGGTCAATAAATATAACTTGTTGGGTGTGGCAACCACAAACTTACATGCCATAAGTGAAATGACATTTGTATTTTCAATATACATGCAGTTGCGGCCATTAAAATCTAACATATTAAAAAAACATATATTTTCTTATTTTTATAGGCGTTTTTATATTTTGGCGAGTCTTAGAACCAAATTATTAATATTAATACAACTTAGGTTGTAACAAATTTAGAAGATATTATTTTAAAAACTACAAATTCAGAAAATATGTTTTATGATAATATTATGCAGAACCTTCTCCGCTTTGTATAAATCTTTTACGCGCTGCGACATAAAATTAATGAATTCAGTAATGGATCTGCTTCGATAATATTGCACCAAACATCCTCTAGAACTCAATTCGACTCAAGAATTGCATTGGTAGTCATATTTGCTAACTAGGTCTTCATGATATGCCAAAGGCTGACGATTGCACTTTCCGTTCCTTCTTATGAATAAGAGAGTTTCTTTCCCCAACAGCTCTTTACAAATTTTTCTATCCGCACGTGTTGTTCTTTACCGTTTTGATAATTTTTCTTAAATTTGGGAAAATGATTTGGAATATTTGACCATTCGTTACATTTTTCAAACTATATATAATGCATATTTACCCCGAATAAGAGGCCAATAATATTACTAATTCACAAAATGAAATTCCGCTACTGCTGCCTTTCTTTTATCTGTCTGTATTTCAATGTCCGCAACTGTACTTATAAAATCATACATAAGTACGGTTACCAGACGTACTGATTTTATCAGTACAGTACTGATTTTTCAACTTACGTACTGATTTTATTCATTCCTTCAATCAGTACGCTAATGTCCTGATTTTTTTAAATTTGCACTGATTTTTCAATTCTGAGCAATCAAATTTGTAATAGGGTTCTTCCCCCCGAGCTTGGTACGCGGTAACTCAGTGATCGGTAATTTTTCCCATGTATTTTGTTTGTGTAATATTATTTTACACAAACAAAATACTTTACGATTTACTTAGGATTTTTACATAACTTGGGAACTTTCTTAAAATTTACTGTTAAAAGTAAGAAGAAAATAATTTAATTATAGTTGACAAGTTATAGGTAATGTTTCATATGCGCAAGAAATCAATACAAAAGAGCAATCGTTTTATGGGCATTTTGCGGGTTATTACCTACCAGTTGCGAAAATATCATGGCGTATAATTTATTTAAAAAGAGGGCTGACATTTTTTGCCGAGTGTTGTTAGTTATCTCGAAAATAACTTTCAGTTTAATAATAACAAATTTGAATAATTGAATGGCTTGCCAACAACTTACAATTAGTTTTTCTCAATTGACTGACTCAATTTAGATACTCTTTTTGGCGAATTCGTAGTCTTTCAAAGTTTTTTCGCAGTTGAATAAAGTAATTTAAGCCATGAGGAAATACGGATGCAGTCCTTAAATAGAGGTATCTTTCCACAGTTTGAATAAATACGTAATTTTGTTTTTTCAATACCACGTTTAAACGAAGCAGCTGAGGGAAAATTTTAGAAAGTGAACTTCAAATTAAAAGTAATATTAAAATATAATGTTTAGAGTTCTTTGACTATTTAAACACTGAAAGTGGAAATGATCTTATTATTGCTATTAAAAAATTTCATATATATAAAATAATTTATTGGCTCCTGTGATGATACTATAAAGGTATTTGATACTAAGTACATGTTAATGTGTATACTCATATTAAAAAGAATAACATTTTTATTTTTTGTGATCAACATTTCATTTATATATCAAGATATTATTAAAGATAAGTACTCTGCCGATTTAAAGTATTATCTGCTACTAACATTCATAATTCTGCTTGAAATAAAAGTGTACTGAAAAGTACTGATTTTTATAGCATGAAAAAGTCGAATGTACTGATTTCGCGCCAAAAAAATCTGGCAACCCTATACATAAGCAAACGTCAAGTATTTAAAAATGTGAACGTCAAATATATCTCGTTGTGGCAATGGATTTATTAAATCTTAATATGTAAATCTCTCAATGGAGACATAGTAATACATAAAAAAAAATAAAAAAAATATTAAGACGAATTGATAACCTTCCTCCTTTTTGTGAAGTCGGTTAAAAATGAAGTCGGTTAAAAATGAAGTCCATTTCCGGAATCAGCAGGCAATTCTTTATGGGCACTGGATAGTGGCATCCATTGAACATTTTTTCTGTAAACCAGTGTAATTAAAGGTTTGCTCACTAGTGGCATTCGAGTTTTGACACTCCCTTAGACTATGTTCAAACAGTCAAATTTGCTGAGGCAATTAAGCCTTAAATTGCGGCATTGAGTTTGGTGTTTACACACACGTCAGCTGCGCAATTAGCGATACGAAATCAGCTGCTGGATTACCTACAGTGATGGAAAAGTTGGTACAATCGTATCTTTATTTAGTTTGAAAGTACATTTAGTACAAACACACAATTTTAAGTACATTTGGAACGTAGCCAAATAACTTCTCAGGACATCAGTTATTATTTTTATTGACAGAGGGAGAGGGAGAGAGAGAGGGAGAAGACTGTTTTCTGAGCAAATCTTTTATTATTGAATCAGGCAGCCATCCTACTTATTTAAATATCTATAAGTCTCGCATATTTACGAGAAATCAAATCACAAGGTTGCCTGTTTTACAAACAAATCAGATTTTTTTCCGAGGGTTTTCGAAGAATACTTGAACAAACTATATGGATTAGACGAATTTTACTTATTAAACCGGGAAATATGAAGTAAACCATCCGTGACACATTCTAAGGAATGTTGTTCTCAATACTTAAATAATATAATTTATTCTTAAATATACCAATGGAATATTGATTTATTTTTTATTTCCAAATTGTAGATATATCCCAAATTTTAATAATGCGATCTTGTCCAACCGTCAACAGCAATTTTCGGCTTTCATCTAGGTCCATGTTCACGATCGAGTGCTTAGCATCATGGAAAGAAGCCAAAGTGGGACGTCTAAGGAGAAAAAAATGTTTAATAAAGTTGTGTCAGAACATGCTGCTAAACGTACTCCACGGTTTGAAGTTGCTTATAGCAAGGATCACAACAGCGTACATCAAATTCAAATCCCATTATGGGTATGTTGATGCGGTTTGCTGAGCAATTATCGCACACAGCTCTTCCACAATTCCTGCAATGGTGCTGTCTTATTCCTGAAAATTTGTAAGGTGCATTATAAATACGTGTTTCATTGGCGTTTAGCTTTTTTCTAACTTATTTTCTAATTCCGGCTGAGTCAGATTTTAAATCCGTGCGAGTTTCACCCAGAAAAGGGAAATTAGGGTTGTACAGGATGTTGTGGAAATGGTCTTGGATTTGCAGTTGGAATTGCATTTGCATATTTTTTGCTTACTGCCATGGCAACCGTGTGCATTTTATTGTAGGGAATTTACGAATGCAACGAATATGCAAATCCAAGAGCATATGCACAAGATCCTGAACAGCCTTATTATTACCAATATTTAGTTATAGTAAGCAAACGGCACGATATGACGAAATATGCAATTTACATGAAACTTTCTTAGGTGGACAGTATGGTAAGTTGAATCAAATAATTTTTGAGGAAAAATAAATAGGGTGTTGGGTGATACAAGTTTCCAATGGAGCATGTTCATAGGTGCTCAGTTTCGACTTTTCTGGCTAAGTACGAACTTAAAATTTAGTTTCCGTTGTAGTCGTAACTAGATAGAAGCATTTTATTAAATTATGGAAGAAAAGTGAAATGGACTGAGGGTGATTTTGATAATATTGTATGATCTGTAATTGATTCTGAAAAGGGAAATTTACGAAGAGCGATCTATTTGAAGCGGAAAATGAAAGTACAATACTTATTCCAATTCTAATAAAGCGCTATCAGTATTTTATAATTGAAATGATTTAGATAAGACCCAAATAACAACATCTAGTTATGTGTTTGTATGTTTCATCGACTTCGTGGCACTGCGGTTGTTCTGCCTATTTTACAACACTAACAAGAAAATTAAACTTTCCCTTTTTGCTTAACCATGCAATGTTACTTAAACATTGTTAAAATTACGTAAACCGATGATCAAACTTGAATACACTGAGAAAAAGGATTAGTTTCGACAACTAAAGGTATTTAGTTCCCGAATTTTGACAATATTTCGGAAATGTTACCAAGGATTCGGAACTATTACCATGGGTTGGTAATTATAACTAAATATATTAAAGCTTCTAATATTCATAGTTTAGTCATAGTTACCAAATCTTAGTTGAGGAAACAACGATTTGGTTTGAGAGCGGAACATATTCATGCTTGTGAGCCACCCCTAAAGAATGCTGAGCGATCTCTGAGCACATGTGTGTTTCACATACGAAGAGCGCCAGCTGAGCAATGCTCACAGTCCCACTTATTGAATCGATTGAATGTTCTAGTATGCCGACCATTCCATAAAAACGATTCAATGAATGAGACTGTTTGCTCCGCTACCGCTGTTCGTATATGGGTGAAACACGCGTGTGGTCACAGAGCGCTCAGTAAGCTAAGGCATGTCGATCACAGCACTAGGTAGAGAAAGAAAAGTGTGAGCTATGACATGCCCAGACTTGTTTGTCTCAGTTTCAGTTTTGCCATCGCCGCGAGTTGTTTCGGTGTGCGCATAGTTATTTAAAAATATAAAGTTTGATGCCAACCGGGGTTTCTCAGTGGATATATAATTTGAATTATAATTTGAAAGTATCTATTTAGCCAAGGAAAAACCCAAGCAGAATACTTAAACCAGCACTTCCAGCAGATATTGACCTGGGTTTTCGCACGACTGTTCCTGTTTCATCGTTTCTTTTTATGAAATTCTTACCGACATATACATATGTATTATTTACACTGGTAACTATTTATGTTAATATGTATGTATTTTTTATCCCTAAGATATGCAAATAAAAGAAGAAAGTAAACACAACAACTGTTCGAGCATTTAAGCTCTCACTATACCTGTCGTCGCATACCCTTCGCACTTTTGCTTTCGATAGCTACGCCACTGGCTCATACTTTTCATTTCTCGTGCTTCGGTCGCTCTACCTTGCACTTTCGTTGATGCACTGCACTTCATTGTTGTTACTAACGCACCGCTAATCAGCAGCTTATGCAAAGGTGCGTGTATAAAAACAAATTTGTTGGACCATCATTGCGCGCGCCACTCTCGTCGTAGCTGTTATAAATTCTTCGCTGCACAAACAACAACAAGCATCGCTAAACCGCACATTTCCATATCGCTCTTCTCCCGCTATTCGTCGTTATTAGTATTTAAGCATTAGCAAATAGTTTTAAGAAAACTCTGTACAGTCCATTTGAAGATCTCCTAACGTACGGAGCAATAAACGCATAAACCCATACTTTGATTTGGAAAATTATTTTTCGCATTCGACAGCCGGTAAAAACCATTTCTCGGCTCGGCCAACAACCATCGAGTAAATTTTTATTTGTGTCAAACTGAAACTTTTCTACAGCAAGTTCACAAAATTAATTGAAAACTTGTATCAACCAAAGCATTGTTTATATTTGCTCAGCAATGATTTTATTCAACTAACAATATTGTCCACTCAAGGTAGTCGTTTTGTATTTATTAACAAATATACATTTTTCCCAACTAGAAGTCTCAAGTAAAGTGCAGACTTTCGTGAACTAGATATTTATTTCGCCATATCCAACTTTGCCACTTGGTCACTATAACCAAATCTTGGTAATTATAACTAAACCTTTTTCTGAGTGTAAAAATGTCACTTTTTCAATATATCGTAAAACTAAGTTAATAAAACTATACAGTAAATAGAAGTCTGAAATGCAACTATGAATCGAAGCGAATTTTTAGTTGGAGCTTAAATTTAAGTTGCTGCTTTATTAACTTCGACTTAGAAGCTGGACTATGAATACGCGCCATTGTTTATATTTGTGCCAACACCAAACTTGTTTGGCAATAATAAGTTACTAGTAATAATCCCGAAAATCGGGGTACTCAGTGTTCTAAAAAATCTGCATATTTCTTTTTTCCAAAACCAAATGCATTGCTTTTGATAATTAACTTTACCTTTTGTACTTTAGCAAGGTTATAATCTACTCAACACGTATACATAGCTGGCCATGCGTAAAGCATTCCTCTTGCTAGGGTCTGACCTTGAGACTTGATTATTGTTATTGCAACGCTACAATAATTGTGAATTGGCGAGGTTTATATACAAAAGGAGGCATAAATGTAGAATACCTACAATTCTCAAATTAAAAAAAAATCATATTGGGATCGATGGAGATCATTGAGGTGAGCGTAACGATATATATATATTTTTGGGAAACAAAAACTACAACAATTATTAAAGGTCAAAGTTTAAATTAAGCATTTTTTAAAATTAAGTTTCTCGAAAACCTCTTCAAGGATTTGGAAAATTTTTATGTCATTTGATAGAGAATTTTATTTAATATACATATATATAAAAAAAAGGTGTTCAGCGCCTTTTTCTTCGCAACACAGAAAGAGAGTTCTACTTTGTGAGGGTTATAATCTATAAGCGCGGCCGAAGGCCGCCTACGCAGAAAGGTGTTCAGCGCCTTTTCTTCGCAACACAGAAAGAGAATTCTACTTTGTGAGGGTTATAATCCATAAGTGCGGCCGAAGGCCGCCTACGCAAAAATAAGTTTATACACAAAAACCCTGTATACTTTTTTTTCCACATTAATTCGATTTTTCTGAAAACTATAAAAAGGTATATGTATAAATATGTATATCAAATTAAAGAGAATTAAATTCTCTATCAAATGACATCAAAATTGTCCAATTCCTTGAAGAGGTTTTCGAGAAATATTAATTTGAGAAAATGCTTAATTTGAACTTTGACCTTTAATAATTGTTGTAGTTGTTGTTTCCCAAAAAAAAAAAATATACCGTTATGTTCACCTCAATGGTCTCTATCGATCCTATTTTTTTGTTTTTTTAATTCGAGATTTGTACGTATTGTGCATTTGTTCCCAAAAGGAAGTTTGATTCGCTGGGCTGCTAATTTATATGGGGTAGTAAAATTTGTTTCCCTTGTGAATCACATAATTAAAGTCCATTAATTAAACCTTTATATGTATGTACATATTTGTATGCGGCTAGGAATGTTCCGATTCAAGTAAATACGAGTATGTACTCGATACTTTTGTTTCGATACCTACTACTTTTTTTACTCGAATCGTTGTTTCGATACCTACTTGGGATCGAAAGAAAAGTACTTGTTTCCAATCGTCTTGAGCAAGTGCCATATCTTGTCGGTCATATTTTTTCTATGAAAGAAACTTTGCACAGCGTGGTTTTTATCAAAAATAATTTCTTTAAGCAATGGCACCGCCAAATTTTAAAGAGTGAATTATTTTTGAAGTGAAACTTCTTAGGCGGCGGTATCGCAAAAATGGAGAGCGAAATTTTTAAAACTGCAAACGTTACATGAGGGAGAAGGACGACAGAGGTGGTATAGGGAAGGGGAAAAAAGAAATAAAGCGACGCATGACGGGTACGAGTACCAAGATATGTACATATATATGTATGTTTGAATGCACGTATGTATGTGTACATATATATTAGAGTGGTTCAAACTAGAGCTCTAGATACCCGGGTATCGAGCAATTCGAGTANCTCGACATGTTAAAATGCAGCCACAAAATTGTTTTTTATATATAATTACTCTGGCATTATTGGTGAACATTCCCTTAATTACATACCTGTCTTGGGCAGTTAGAATGGGCCTAGTGCCCGAAAATATGCTCTTGAAAAGAGACTAGTAAAACTAAAACGTTGATACTCAACTATTTACGCATTGTCATATGTTGGAACTTGTTACCAGGGGGTTTCTGGGTTGCTAATTAGGGATCTGAAGGCAGTTTTTCGAAATTCAAAATGGCGGTCCATTTTTTTTTTAATTATTGGATTTGTTCGAAACCCGGCATTCGAGAGCTTTTGTGGTCGCCGATTACGAATATGAAGTCAATTTCTTTAAATTCAAAATGGCAGATCCAATATGGCCATCAAATTAAAAAAAGTACTAAAATTAAAACGTTGATACTGAACGTTTTAAACATTGTCAAGGGTTAAAATACGTTTCCAGTGGGTTTCTGGGGTTGCTGATTACGAATCTGATGTCAGATTTTCAAAATTCAAAATGGCGGTTAAGAGTTTCAAAGAAATCCCATCATTTTT